GTGCCGATTTCGTCCCCTCTGACCCCTGGGGGGGCATGGTGAGCCTCCAAAGGGTCCTAGGGTGTGTTCCATAAGATGGACCTCTCCATAAGTCTCCCATTTTTTAGGAGAAGAAAACAGATTATTTTTTCCTGTTTTCTTCTCCTAAAAATTTGATGCGTCTTATGGAGAAGTGCATCTTATGGAGCAAAAAATAGGGTACATAGCATTTTCAAGTTTGCAAGGGCATTGCAAACATCATCTCAATGGCCATTAATATTACTAAATAAATTCCCCTCAAGAACACCCAGTTAGTTTCTGGAGGTAATCTGAAAGTAGAGCCACAATTCAAGAGCCAATATTGAACAGTGATTATTTTCTCACTCTCACTTAAGTAAAATATTTGGAATAGACCAGTTGTGACCCTCTTTTGTAATAGCCAAGTAACCTATGACTCCTGCCCAATTTGCATAAAAGGGCATTTTAATTAGGTTAAAAAACATTAAAAATAGTTTTTTCAGAATTTAATTCTAATCTAATATTTAATGCAGTGGTTGTACTTGTATCGGAATAATAAATAAGTGTTTAAAACCTTCATGGTGAAATTTCCTATAAAAATAATTGCAGCTAAAAAATAACGAAGACAACCCCTTGAAAACAAGGGGGTCACAACCCACAGGTTGGGAACCCATGAAATAGACCAAGAAAATGAATGGAAGCTGATAACCGCTGTTTTTGGAAGGGAAACCCATTCTTTTTTCATTGGAATGTAGAACTACTACAAGACAGAATTAAAGCCATTTTTATTTATTTATTATTTATTTATTTAATTTATATGCCGCCCACACTACCCAGAGGTAAGTCTTCACTGATTGCCAATGTCAATAGAAGTCACTCACTTGTTTCAGACTCCCTTATCTACATAATTCTCTCATAAACTATTTTCAGTATGAAAAGTTCAGTATTAAAATGAAAAGGACATTCAGCTACAGTTTTCAATATTTACAACAATTAACACAAGCTTACAAGTTATTATATAAATATACTCTTAAAACTAGAACTTACTTCTGTCTCCATGGAATTTCTTGCATGTTTTTACAGCAACAAAGATGTCCGTTTTCTTCACTGGATCTCCCTAAAAATAAAATACCATTTAGATCTTTTTTCTCTCCAATCATTTTTGCATTGTTTCAATAAGTCTTCATAAATAAGGGGCTTCAGAATATATCTCCATATTTCATGACATATCAAAAAGCAATTTAAAGTAGTATAACAAGATCCATTTTCTACGTCTCAAAATTTAAATTATTTAAAATGTCAATGCTGGCTGGCAGCATTTTCTACTAAAACTGAAATTCTGATTGAAGTTAGTTACAACACACTAGAGAAGCAATAAAAAAGAAAGTATCTGACAGTAACATTATGAATACTGAAAAAAATATTCTAGCCAAGAAGTTAAGCATTGTGAAGTCTCATTGATTTTAATGCAAAGGACTCAATCATGTACGTAACTGTGCTACTGAATTTTAGTTGGATAAGACAATATTCAGTTTCTAAACATAGAATACATTTTTGACCATGGATAGAATCCAAATAACTACTTTTATAGCTGGGCAAACCAAGGAGGATTTCCTTTTTTTCCATTTGATTAGCAATCACTCATGCTACATAACAGCTTATAAAAGTCTACTAGTTTCAAAAGAGGTTTGTCATGTTGTAGCCCTCAGGGTTTGGCTTACAGTTTCAAGAAATCAACTCCATCTCCAAGAAAATGAATACCGTTCTGCAGAGTTGAAAAACCACTGTGGCTGTCTCACATTAGCGAGAGCCATTATTAATCAGTTGAGCTTTTAGGAGAAGGCCACCACTGCATAGGCTATGGCCAGGGCAGGAAAAAAAGCTGATCTAGGTAACTCACTACATGGCAGTCATGGGATCTCAACAAAAAGCTAACAAGAGAAACAAGAGGGTAGAGGGTAGTCATTAAAAAGAAGGAAAACATATGGAAAACACTGCTGAGTAAATGGTTGTTGTGGTTTTTTTGGGCTGTTAAACTGTGTTCTGTAGGTTTTTCTTCCTAACGTTTCACCAGTCTCTGTAGCTCCAGAACATGGCCAAACAGCTTGAAAAAAATCCACAACAATCATCGGATCCTGGCCATGAAAGCCTTTGAGAACACACCACTGAGTAAACTTTCCAAAATGGAATTAAGAAAATAGAAGAGCTAATGTTCATAGACTACAATCAAGCTGTTTGCTGTAACATGAAGAGCTTTGGATCATTCTAAAACACATGTGTGCACCTCAACATTTGGTAGTCCCTGATGCATAACCTACACTCTGGAGAAGAAGCCGCTATTAGGTCAGAGTACAGAGAAACAGGATAGTTTTCTGGTGGCAGGGTGTAAGACAAAGGTGCATGTTTTCTTGTTATCTGTTCAAACTGTATATAGACTATGCCACACAAAAAGCTAGGTTAGATACAGATGGAAACCTGATTAGATTCAGAGTAAAAATTTGGTGGGAGAAAATATCAATAATTTAAGAAATACGATGACACAGAACTGAATAATGAGGAAGATTAAAGAAGAAAGTGAAAAAGCAGGATTACAGCTGAAAATTCAGAAGACATAATGCAGAAAATTGCATAACTTTAAAGTTACTGATGAAGATATTAAAATTGTTGGATTTTCTGTACTTTGCTTCAATCATGAAACCAAATGGAAACTGCAGCCAAGAAATCAACAAGAATGAGGCTAGGAAGAGCAGCTATGAAGGAACAAGGAACAATCGTTATATGTAGGGATGTATCACTGGAAACCAAGGCCAAGATCATTCAATTACTATGTATAGATGTGAAATCTGGGCATTAAAGAAAGGTGACAACAAGAAAATCCATTCATTTGAAAAGTGATCTTGGAGGACAGCTTTATGGGGAACATGAATCACCAGAAACACAAGTTTGTTGGTTTTAGATCAGATAAAGCCTGAACTCTCATTAGAAGCTAACATTATTAAACTCAGACTACTCTGAACACATGAGAAAACAAGACTCACTGGAAAAGGCAGTAATGTTAGGAAATGTTGAAAGTGGTAGGAGAAGAGGATGATCTAACATGAAATAGAATGATTCAACAAAGGGAGCCCTGGGCAAGGCTGCTAATGAAAGAACCTTCTGAAGGTCAGAAGATGATTTGAGAACAACAACAACAACAACTACAACAACACAACAACAACAACAACAACAACAACAACAACAACAACAACAGAGATCACTTAGTATAAGTAGCTTGAAAAAGTCATGTGCTGACTCAAACATAAGGTTTTCAGTTTTCATGCAGAAACACTTCTCAAAATATACTGTGAATTGTTTTCCATGACCAAGAAGATAGAATCTGTTTCATGATTTTCTGAGTTTAAATAAATGTGAGGTGTTCTGACATGTACCTGTTAATGAACATGTATTACAAGGCCAGGCAGTACTGGGTACATATGTCTTGTGAGAATGAGAAGAAGAATGTGTGAGGGCAGCATTGACTTAAGAAAAGCACAAATCCTCCTCTTTGATACATTTACTTTCTGCACAACCTGATGGGAATCTTGTAGGATGTTCTGAGGAAACCAGAATGTAACAACATCACCTGCACAGAATTCCATGGTGTTGTGAAAGACCAGTGTTCAAAAACTGAAGAAATGCTAAGAAGAAAATCACAAGATTTCTCATAGCTGACAAAAGAAAATTCAGAGAGAAGCAAATAAGACAGGATGAGAAAAATTGTTGAGATATTCTACAATAAAAACTGTAAGATATTGAAATATTGTCGTGCCGAAGGGGCTTGAGTAATTCAGAGAAGCTATGGGCTATGCCGTGCAAGGACACCCAAGATGGACAGGTCATAGTGGAGAGCTCTGACTAAATGCGATCCACCTGGAGCAGGAATTGGCAAACCACTCCAGCATCTTTGCCAAGAAAACTCCATAGGCAGAAATAAAAGGCTAAAAGATATGACACTGAAAGATGAGCCCCTCGGGTAGGAAGGCATCAAACATACTACTGAGGAAGAGCGGAGGACAAGTAGAAGTTCCAGAGCTAATGAAGTGTTTGGGCCAAAGCCAAAAGGATGCTCAGCTGCGGACACACCTGGAAGTGAAAGGAAAGTCTGAGGCTGCAAAGAAAAACACTGCATAAGAACCTGGAATGCAAGATCTATGAACCTTGGTAAGTGGATGTGGTCAAACAGGAGATCACAGGAATAAACATTGACATCCTCGGCGTCAGTGAACTAAAATGGACGGGGATGGGTGAATTCAATTCAGACGATTATCATATCTACTATTGTGGGCAAGAATCCCGTAGAAGGAATGGAGTAGCCCTCATAGTCAACAAAAGAGTGGGAAAAGCTGTGCTGGGATACAATCTCAAAAATGAGAGAATGATTTCAATAAGAATTCAAGGCAGGCCTTTCAACATCACATAATCCAAGTTTATGTACCAATCACCAATGCTGAAGAGGCTGAAATTGATCACTTCTATGAACACTTACAACACCTCCTAGAACTGACACCAAAGAAAGATGTTCTCATTATAGAGGACTGGAATGCTAAAGTAGGGAGTCAAGGAACAACAGGTAAGTTTGGCCTTGGAGTTCAAAA